TTAAATATTCCTGACTTTAATAAACTCTTTGTTGTTGCAATCTCGAGGTGTTTTGTCTTTGTAATCTTACCTGCTGCGAACTAGCATGCTAGAAGGGTAATGTTTAACTCCTGGATTTTAAGGACTTGGTAAAAATTTTAAGGACTCTGTTTGCTTGATGTAAGATAAGGCTGTTGGAAAAATGACTTTTGTGCCACACTGAGCTCATAATGAATCTGTTTTAAATGATCAGCAATGTAATTAGCTCTTTATAAGCGTGTGGATCTCTTCAAAGGGTGCTCTTATACTGGTGTATATTTTTTTTAATAATTTAAGTTGGAAGGAAAGCCTTCTCAATTATAAAGACTGATCTTAATCTGACATTCCTGAGTCAGGCTTACTTTATGCTTCTCTTAACACCCAAAAGTCTTTGAAAGAAAATCTCTTAGGACTCTAATGGTCCTTAATGGTTTTTTCAGTGTATTGCCCAAACTTGTTATTTAAGATCAACATTGGGTTCAGCCCCTGTGACTATTTGCTGCTTAGGGCATATATGTTATCTTGGTTAGTTACCACTTTGGTTTGTGGGTAGAATTTTGCTGTGTCTTCCCGAAGGCCCACAGTGCTGACAGATGATCGGGTGCACAACGATGTTGACATTTTTCAGTTTGTCAAAACAGTGCCAGGCTTCTGGTCAGGGGCTTCGGTTGAGCTATATGTGCTCCGTGGCCTTTGTGTAGGGAATCAAAGAAGCAATTCGGACTAAAAGGTTCTGGGGAAACTATGTTCTGCCTTTCATTTCACAAATAGTGGCCCTTGGGGTCACTTTCGTCACAGGAGTGAGAGTCAAGCTCACATGGGAAAAATTGTTGCTGGATACTGAATTGCAGCACCCAAGAGGACAGGTTTGTGGACAGTATGTTGACACCTTCAAAACGTAACCACAGGCACCAGGTAAACAAACGTTCATCTGCCTTTTGCTGCACCTTCAAACAGGTGGTCACTGAGCTTATGTTGTTTTGATGAAGTGATTTTATTATTATCCCTTCCCTCTCTTACTGTCAGTACTGAGAAACACCCAGCTGTCCTCAGACTGCTGTGGCAGTTTGTTGAATACTGCATGTCAGTGCTGTGGTGCGTGTGCCACCAGCACTTGGTGGCGTGCCCATCATCATCCTCATGCAGGAAGCAGTGCTTCCTTCTCATACAAGGTCACCTCCAAACGGGAACTGGAAGAGGGTGACGTGGAACAGACTATGGGACTTTTCCACTAATTATTTTGTGATATTCTTTGGAACCTTGGACTTTCCTGGAATTCTGCATGTCACTGATATTTACCCATAAATAGAGGATGAAGATGTACTTCATGTGCCATGTGGGTTTTTCTTCATCTGTTAATTTTTTGGAGTCCTCTTCACGTATAGACTAAACCATGGACGCCTATGCTGTTCATAGACAGCACAGCTGAAGACATCAGGTTAATGCAGCCTGAAAGAGACCCAAGATGAATTCCTGCTTGGTGACCGAACTCTTCAGCAAGACACATAGACGCAGACCTGAAACCAAGGTAAGAATTCCCATCTCTGCTGCCGAGGAGGAGGAGAAGCAGCAGGATGTGCTGTGGAAGTAGTTGTCCTTCCTGGGGTTTTGTGCTGCTGCTGGAGCCTCTGTATCACAAGAGGTGTCACCTGCCTCATTGGTGGCAGAATCCCTACCTCTTCCTGCTGCCTTTCTCTTATTCATGCTCCGCAAAGGAGCTGAGGCCCTGTTAAGGACTCCTCACTGTCCTTCACTATAGGCACTGCAGGGACTGGGCTGGTAGGGTGCTCTTGTTTTCTCGCTCTGCTCGTTCGCTCTGGATATTTGTATGTGTACCTCTGTGTTGGAAATGGGTGTTGACATCCACACAGACTTGCAGGAGAATGGGAGTCAGGGAGAGGAAGAGAGTGGAAGCAGAGATGCTCCCCATCACAGAGGGCTGATGAGTAATCTTGCAGATAGTAACAGGGGAGAGGCATGTGCAGGGCAAAAGGCAGAGTAAAGCAAGGAACCTGGCTGGCTGGTTCATGTGGGGAAGGGCAGGGAGGTGCTGGCAAACTGTCTGGATGTGTCTCTAACGCAGCAAGTGGTTCTCTTCAGGCTGGTCTGTGCTTATATACATTGGGACAGGCCGCCCAGGGAGGCGGTGGAGTCCCCGTCACTGACAGCATTCAAGAAAGGTGCAGGTGGATGTGCTTAGGGTCACAGTTTAGCAGGCACGATGTTGAAGGGTTTATGGTTGGACTCAGTGATCCAGAAGGTCTTTTCCAACTATAATGGTTCTATGATTCTATGGGTCTCTATATGCAGGCACACACACCGTATATATATATAATTCTAATTTACATAATACTTTCTGTGAAAATCAAGCGGCTATTAGTGCTTACCATGGTATCATTATCTACATAGGGAAATACAAAAGTGGTAAAATGGGAGGGAATGCACTCTTTTTAAAGTTTTCCTCTCCAGTAGTGTAAAGCCTTGATAACAACAGTAAGAAACTCTAATATAACAGTACCTTGGCCTTGTATCTCAGTGTAGTCCAATACCGTGTGTCTCTAATGTGTCTGTCTAATAACCTGTGAATTCCTTGAACAAGTACTGAAAATTCTCACTTGAGGCATACAAGTCTTGAAGATGGAAATAGGTCCTTCTTGTTTCGCGATGTAGATTTCTTAGTCAGAGGAGTGTCCCGAGGGGGATGTCGGGTAGCAGTTCCAGCTTCCATGAGCATCTGCATAGAGAAGGGGCTGCCAGCACTGCCAAAATGGGGGTTATTTTTGTTTGTTTGGTTGTTTTTGTTTTTCCATGTCCCTTTTGGTGACAATGGAGGTCCAGATGTCATATGCACCATTAGATGGTGGTGCTCAGAGAACAGCTTGTCAGCAGTCACCCTGTCAAACCCCACCGGGAAGTGAAAGGGAAAAGAACCAGGGCAATCAAATAGGTTTGTCACAGCATTTTTCCCCCGGCAGCTGTGTTTTGTGTAGAGTTAAAATGTACTGTAAAGGCAGCCTGTGGATATGTTGTTTTCCTCGCCACACTCACTTTGATGTCATCCTGATATTATTTTTTTCCGGAATTCCTAGTCTTATTTCTCTAGGGATTGGGAGTGAAGGAAGAATAAATTGTTCCATCTATTATTGGTCATCTTCAACCACCAGAGCTTCAGGTGGCACAGAGCATTCTAATTTTCCCTTTTTTTTTTTTTTTTTTTTTAAAAAAAAAAGAGGCAGTATTTGAAAAAAATATTCTGTGAAAAGAGAGGGATGTGTTATTTGTTTTAATAGAAAGGCATATACCCTTTTAGCAAGAAATGCCTCTGTTCTTGTTACCTCTCTTTGTTCTTGTGTGTAATCGGAAATAACAAATACCTTTGCAAGACTTGGAGGGGGAAATTACTCTGAATAGGGGCAGGAAGAGCAGAAAAGGGGAATCTAAGACTTCTTTGCAGAGCCACAGTAGCAGCAAAGTGAGGTAGTGTTACTAAACGGTCTCCCTTTTGTAATCAGCAGAGGTTTTACTCACAGGGCCTGGTATCATCAGTGGATGGTAAAATATAGTGGTTATTACGGAGTATCTTGAGCGTGTACATTTAAGGAGCCTTAAGGGAGTCATTGAAAACAGATAGCAGATAGATTGTGTTAAAATAGATTTTTGTAACCTCTTCAGCTGATGTGGCAATTCTTAGTAATAGCGAGGCTGCTTCAAATACTGCACCGGTGCCCTGCTGTCCTTCTGAGCATGATGTGACCCCTGCTGAGCGGAGGGGGAAGGTTTCACTTGGGAGAGGAAAATGCAGGACCTCGGTTGCTTCTAGAGTGTGAGGCAGTGCTGCACGTTACCTGCCTGGGCACTAACCCAAAACTGCAGGAAGAGCTTCTTGCAAAGGCTCCTCTAAACACAGGCACTGATCGCTTCAGCTGATGGGGGCATGGTCCATGGTTAGGCTCAACCACCATGAGATGCTTAAATTTGGAATGAAAACTCTCCACAACTAAAAGTTGTGCAGAATATAACAAAAGCACTTTGAATTAATTTTCTTGACAGAAATATGGGTTTTATTTTTTGTTTTTGTTTTTTCCAGTATCTTTCAGTGATGTTGGAGTTCCAGAAGATAGCAAATCTACACACACATTCGGGGGAGAATAAGCAGTGTCCATAAACAGCAGTGCACAGGAAATAAGAGACCTGAGACAATGCCAAGATTCTGGGGAGTTCTGGTGTCAATTCTTTCTTGGGTAAGTCATCCAGCTTTCTCCAGCGTGTATTCCTCACAGTGACAGCAGGATAATGACACTTTCCCCATCTCGTTAGGTGCTTAGAAATTAATTGGAATATATAATAGGTAAATCAAGCAGATACCTATTCTGCGGTGTCAGACTACTACTCTGCCCTTGATCCTTCCTGAAAATAGGAGGACTGTCTCTTGCACAGTCCTTTTTCAGCGTGTCTCCTTTCAGTAGAAATCGGATTGTGAAATTAATTGTAACCAAAAGCTTTGCTCTCCCACATCTGCTAATATAGCATCTCTCATTGATCAGAATATGAATAACCCCATCTTGCCACATTTTTTGTGTTCGTTTTTAATGGGTATCTTCCTGGCACAGTCATATAGAAAGAGCTTTATAGCTGATACGATTTGATGTAGTTTGAGAAGTTCTTTGCTCTTAGCAAACCATTCACAAACATTTTCCTCTTGAACTTTAGGTGGAGTGACAAGCTCTGTTTCTATGTGCACCCATAGAAAGATGCCTGCTTGTCTAGCCTACCTAGTGTGGCAGTGTCTCGTGATAATGTCGCAGGACAGGGACAGCATTCGTTTTTGCCTTGTGTTTTTTTCGGTTTTCTTTTCTATCTAGTAAATATGGGATTTTTTTGCCTTATCTTGTGATGTCAAGTGCACTAGCTCTGTTCAGTAGGCCGCCTGGCACCTTTCCCATGCCGTATCCTTGTCAACTGATGCATCAGGGAAGGCTTCCTGACGAAAGCACAACAGGTCATGTGGCAGCTGCTATTCCCTGAGGGTGGCAACTTCCATTTCAGCTTAAACTTGGGCTTTATTTTTTTTTTCTGTGAGTGGCCGTCCCTGCTGAGAATCGCACTTGTGTGGATAATGGTTCCACTTCTGATGCTTCGGCTTTGATTGTGCAGTCACTGACTTAGATACCAAGTTTTCTGACCTAGAAAGGTGAAGGACAAGGCAGCTGATGCTGTAATGATCATCTGGTTCACTCCCCAACTTCACGGGTGAGGACTATAGCATGTATGGGAGAAAGTTCTTTCTTTAAAGGAATGATTCAGCGGAGCTCTCTGACCGGGTGATGCCAGGGCAGCACTGCACTGAAGTTATTTCAGTTTCTTTTTCTGAAAGCACAGCAGCAATGCAGAACTGGAGAGAAAGAATGAAGTCTTTTTAGAAAAGGAATAAATGCCAGAAGGTTGGCTATTAGGAGAGTTGTACTTTTTGAGATCCTGACTGGGGGGGGAAAATGGCTATATACTTAGGAGGTGTTTTGTGAGGTTAGTCTTCACATTTCAGTACTTGAAGGGTACAGATTTGGGTCATATTGCATTTTTCTTTTCCAAGTTACAAGCAAAAAGTCACAGACAAAGCACTGAATAGGATCTTACTCTGAAGTGAGAAGATAGGTCTAACTTGGCTTCAAACTTGACAGGATCTGATGGACACTATTTTGAAATGGGAATCAAGAGACTCTGTCCTGGCAATGCCTCCCTTCTGCCATTGGCCTTGGAGATTTTCCACTGTCTGAACATTTTCCTTCCAGGTCTGTAAACTCTGTGGCACAGAATTTGTTTTTAACTTGTCTCACAGAAGAGGCACCAGAGCTTAGGGCTCTAATTTCAACTGGACCTGGAAATCTGGGTCCTGACTTAGAAGACAGAATAGGAAACAGAGGAATGAAAAGATTTTCTTTTGTTTTCATTAATTAATCCTAAAATTCTGTATATACCAAAAAAAAAAAAAAAAAAAATACAGCAAAGCAAGATGATTAGTTTTTCACCTGAAGCAAGCAGTAGTCAAAAGACACATCGTCAGGTTGTTTTATCAGGCTCCAAATTTCCAACTTAAGCCTCCAGCTTAGTGGGTACCTGATTCTGATTTAATACACTGCAGCAAAGAGTGTGTCTTTTCTTCAGTGAGGATATATAGCCGGAAGGATAGCTTAAATATGTACATTTTTTCTGGTTTAGCATTATATGGAGTGTAAATAGCTTTGTAGGTGTGTAACTGAGAACTATGAGTTCCAAGGATAATTTTCTCAATGTACAGTTTGAGCTATATGATAAGCTAGAAAACCCTATTTAAGACCTATAAACCAACATAAATTATCACACTCTCAGTTCAATCTTAGATCTCCATTATGCTTGTATATGAAAGTACCAAGTTCTCTCTAGTACAAGAAAGTCATGGACCTACTGGAGCAAGTCCAGTGCAGGGCTGTAAGGATGATTAAGAGATTGGAACATCTGTCATGAGGATAGTCTGAGATTGGTAGGATTGGTCACCCTGTAGAAGAGAAGTCTTGGCAGAAATCTTTTCAGTATGTGTGTATTATATACGTGTGTGTGTGTGTGTATGACTGGATGGAATAAAGAAGATGGAGCCTGGTTCTTCTCAGTGGTGCTCAATGATAGGAAAAGAAGCAATGGGTGCAAACTGAAACACAGGAAATCGTTTAAACCTAGGAAAAAGGTTTTTTCCTTTGTGGGTGTTTGAACACTGCCTTGGACTAGTTGCTCAGAATTAGGTAGTTTCTCTCCTTGGGGAAGTCAAAAGCCACCTGGATGTAGTCCTGAGTAGTGCTGACCCTGTGTGAGCAGGAGAATTGGATCAGATCATCTCCAGAGGTCCTTGCCAATTTCAACTGTTCTGTCATCCTGTGAAAAGGCTCACTTAGCCTATGGGAAAATGCAGCTCGTGTGTTTCCCCATTATTCCATTATTTTACATAGTCCATGTTAAATAATTAAGCATATATCTACTAATTGTCCTCAATAAGAGTTTTAATTTGATCTTTCCTTTTGTTCAGTCATAAAAATTATTCTCTTTGCTTCTCTTTTTTTCCCCATATTTCTGGTGCATTACTTGACGTTTTCAGGCATGTTTCTGATACTAAAACAAAAGCAGATGTGGAGGTAGAGTTACCAACTATGCTGCTTTTTGCAGCTGCGTAGTGTTGACCTTGGACTGGAATCTCTGTGAAGCTTGTCCAAGGCCTGGTGAAACCACTTGGTAAGCTCTAGTCAAGTATTTGAGCAATGTTCTTTATGGGTGCAGTGGGTGCAGGAAAAGGGAATCTAGGAGCACTGCAGCCAGAGCCTTACAAACACAGATTTGGGACAGTAACCCTGCTAGGTTGGCAGGTAACCCTGCCAGATTTATGTATGTTCTGATCCTATAGATAGGGGATCTACAGAATCTTTTGGAAAATTGTGGAGTAATATATCCCTTCCCATTTATCTTGCCAGGCAAGCAGACATATGTTGTGACAGCTGGATCACAGTTTAGTGTTTCGAGTGAACCAAAGGCCTCATACCTGCTTTAGGATGTGCTGACTCCCTAGTTATTAGACTGTACTAACAGATTTCCATTGACCATAGTGGGAACTTAGACACAGGTGTTTGTGTGAAGCTGAATTCCCCATAGCACCTGTGGTTCTAGTGCTGGCAAGTTCCTTACAAGGACTGAGCAAAAGGAGTCGCCAGGTGGATCTTATACTCCCAGTGCTGGGAGCCTGGGGATTTGTATCATTTTGAGGTTCTGTTTCTCTTACCTGCACCCTTTTCTGAGCCCCCAGGCCATCTGCTCTAGACCATCTCCTATAAGAGGAGGTCACAGTCAGTGGCACACGAGCATTTAGGTTCTGCGTGATGGACAAGTTAACAGGCTCAAAGAGACTGCATGACATCTCTGGCTCGATGTGAATGGCTAGCAATAGCATGTCCCAAAACGTGCTCAATACTAGGGACTAAATATCTGTGAAATTTCACTGGAGATCATGATGCTGCCAAGAGGGCCTCAAATAATTCAGAACAGGCTAAATAGCATTCTGGGGGGAGCCCCTCATAGTCTTCTGTGCTTGACTAAACAGAGTATGTAAATCTGTGAGCAGTGCAATCAGCCTGGGATGTGGATTAAGTGTTCGTCCAATTCCTATTTAGGCTTTAATTTGTTAATATGGTCCCACAGTTGTTTTCTGAGAGAAGCTCAGGAATGTTCAAAGAAAGGGTTAATCCTGTTTTCATCTGACTGTTAATCTTGAAAACATCTTTGTCTCCATGAACCCAGTTTCTTCTGGAAAACTCCTAATAAGTTATTAGGAATACAGACCCATCACCAAACACTGCAATATGTTTCACACCTACAAATGTTGGTAAACAGAGCTAGAATCATGTGGGTAAGAAGTCTTCCCTGCTGGAACTGTAAAAGATGGTGGTGTCCCAACTATAAAGCCTGCTTGTTGCTTTCCCTTGGATTTAGCTCCAATGCTAAATGCTGCAGTAGAGGGCACCAGGTTTCTGGAACTGCCATCTTCTGAGAAACTGGAGCAGAGTCAAGTGTATTTCACAGTAGGCACATTAAGGAAGCTTAAATCACAGCACAGATAATCACATTGCCCTAGGAGATCAACAAGCTGTTCTGTTAGGCCCAGCTCTGGGCTCTCAATCATCATGTGGTATCCAGCTGCCTCAAGAGTGCTTGGCTTCAAGTGTGCTTGCTGCGATCCCTCCTCTTTACCTGCTCTCACGTGTTTTGTGAAGCTTAGAATAACAAATGTGTTCAGATATTGGTAGTGGAAAGATGCCAGGTGAGGCATAAATTATTTACTTTTATGAGCTAGAGATTTGCTTGAATTATGTGAAGTTATAAATGGGTTTTTACTGGTGCTGTGCGTTTTGAATGTCTCTGGAGGCTTTTATTGATTATTTCCCTCCTATTTGTTTAATTTCTTATAATACAGTATGATTGAGGAAGGGAAGGTGGCTGCTTTATTTTTGATTTGGATTTTCAGTCAAAATAAATTAAGAAATGGGTTTTACTTGAAAAGGATTTGGAATCATTACAGTGAATTTCTGCTGGCACAGTACAGGAAGAACTTGATCCCAGTGCTCCATGGATATGATGCCAGCTGTTTGCCATTTCACATGTACGAACAGTTTATCCAGTCTTATTGAAATCCCATATATCCAGCATCAGGGATCCAAGTGGTTCTTCTGTCATCTGTTGCATCCATCTGTGTTACCTCCTTTTGACCTTTTAAATTGGTTAGCTATTCTGAGCAAGGACCTCATCACGAGGCTTGTAGAATGATTGTCACCATAAGTCTGGATTCTCTAAGCACTCCTATTGTACAAATAATTACAGAAAGAATCATCATGATAAGTCTAGCTGAAAAGGCACAAGTACAACAAAATGTGAAGAGACACTAGATATCTGCAAAGAAGACAGGATCTGAAGCAAATATTTTCTTTTTCATAGAGATAATATACCCCGTATCTGCACTTCTGCCTAAAAATATGAGGAAAAAATGAGTTTTTTATTTTTACTAAATCAAACTGTGAATAAAACCGTACCATTGCTCTTAAATCAGACTGTGTTTGTGAAATTCTTAAGTATGCCTGCTGGCTTGTGTCCAATACCTTATTTTGGGGAAGGAAATACTATATTCAGACCTCTTTTCACCCCTTTCCAACATGTCAGATATTGTTAGAAAGAAATGCCTTGTTTAAAACAAGCTTCAATTAGAAAAATGTTATTGTCAAGATGGCAGTAACCTGTTCAGAATGTCAGGAGTCACTCAAGATGTTCTTGAAAAGTGGAAAACAAAACAAACCATGCAATGTTTTAAAATAAAGCTATCTTTATGGACATGTGTCTCACAAGGAGATGGAACTAATTCCAGTGCCTGCGAGGGCTGAGTTGTAGGTCAGGTTTTCCCTTGTGAGCTATCTAGAGACAGCTTCAAAAGGTATCTACAGATTTCTAAAGACAATTTCTGTTTTTCTGTCCCCTTCTCTTTTGCCAGAATTTAGAACTGAGACTCCTAACTTTAAGGAAAGGTGGGTTATCAAAGCAGCATCTTGCCAGGTACATGGCTTAAGTATTAATTGAATGATTTCTGCTAAGTTGAGATCATCTTTACTTTGCAGGGCTATTTTACAACTTCTTGACAGCATAGCCAAAAATTGCATTTTATTGCGAATCTGGGTCTCTCAAACTCTAGCCAGCAGTGGCAGAAGACCAGTAAAAAGTGAGCACTGGCTAACATTCTTCCCACAATTTTTTACAGAGACATCCATCCTAACTCCTCTGCCATTGACTAACTCAGCATGTGAGTGTCAAAGGCATTCAAATAAGCTATGTGGTAATCATCTCATAAACCACTTCAAATGTAATATCAACATATTGCTTCACTATCACATCTTTAACATGTAGATTTCCTTCACCTTTTGTCCTGTCTTTTCACTCCTTTTGCTTTCTTATTTTGCCAGAGGAAAACATTTGTAAAGGAGTAAAAATACAAAAGCAGAATAAAAATCTTCTTCAGTTTTTGAATAATGAAAGCAAAACTAAAGAAAGAATATGGAGAAGCACTAGCAAATGATTCTAATAATAATAATACCATAAGGAAAAACTGGCATTATTACTACCCCATCTGTTAAAAGGCTCTTTCAGAAAAGAGATCATAGAGTTGTAATAGATAATTTTATGAAAACATCTTTTCATGCTCAGTAGCAGTCAAAAAGTGGTTGAATGCTAGGAATAATTAGAAAAGGAATAAAAAAAAATCTTCTGCCACTGTAGGTGTGCATATGCATTCATATGCTGAATGGTCATGTCATCCCAAAGAGCATATAGTAGAACTAGAAAACATGAAGAAGAGTAAAAGGATGAGGAAGAGCAGGAGATGACTCCCAGCACAGGATTAAGGGCTGGACCAGGAAGCTTCAATCAAGAAACAGATGGATGAAGAAGGATATGAAAGAAATCTTTAAAATCTTTAATATGGGGGGGGAAAAAAAGAACAGGAAAGGATTAATTATTCTGTTTCTTAATAAACACATAATATCAAAAGAAAATGAACAATTCATACAAATTTGTCTGTTTGAAGCTAATAAAAGGACGTGCTTTTTGTAGTGCTTACCTGAAGTATGAACACTACAAGTGTTTTGTGGATGCTAAAAATGCATGAAAGAAAAATACATGGAGGTCAGTTAAGCACAATATTACCTGTAGTTCTTGAATTTCCTGAACCCACAAGTTGTTTGAGAATATGCCAGAGGGATATAAATATATTTTAACTTTTTACTTCATCCTTCCTTAGATTTCTGCTATGGCCACAGTTGAAGACATGATGAAATACAGCTGACCTTGTGTAGATGGTCATATGTTTGAAAGTATAATGTATAAGCACTTTGCTGTCCCTTTTCATTGCAAACGCACTGTTAAAAAAGACGTAAGAGATGAATACATGTTTGTCTCAAGAAAATAAAGTGTTTCTCGAGCAGAAAAACTTCTCTTTGCACAGAAGGCAGATTTCTTGAGGAAGAAGATCCCATTTTCTTGTCTGCTCATGTGATGAATGCTGTATTATAATACTGTTAAAATACAGAAAGCCATTCCTCTTCCAAAGGCATGGGGTGTAGTTGTCTAGTAGGAGACTGGAGAGTTTCCTGTTTAAAAAAATAATCTAACCATTTTAAGAAAATCATATGCTGTAGAACAGTTCGATCGTGGTTTAGTCTTAGGCAAAATAGGGAAAAATTTAATTTATCCAGGATAGAAAATTGATGATATCTGTAACAGAATAAAACTGAGGAGACTGAGCCTTGGGAGTTATTTTAGGTTTTGACTATGACAAATAAATCCCCCCCCCAAAAAATATGGTCTTATACTAGTGCAGGGAAGGAGAAGTCTGGATAAGAGACTTTTTTTCTTTTTCTTTCCTTTTTGGATGGAGACCTGTGTATTCAAACTGAGAAGAAAGAACATCTTGATGTGACAGGATTTTGTGCGAAGAATCTGTACAAGGTTGAAAATGTTGAAAAATTAGACAGCATGGGGATTAATTGAAGTCTGAGCAGGAAAGTTTCCTCTTGAAGATGAGAGCAGTCGAAGCCGCCTTTGAACTGATGTCAGTGGGACACTGTGATTAAATACATCTTCTTTTAAAGCACTGCCAGTCCCTGTGGAGCCATGATTAGGAACCCAGATCAATTATATGTCGGTATGAGTCTGAGGCTTCTTTTTTTCCTGTAGTTGTCCACGCTGCAAGGCTTTGGAATGAGATGGTAAAAAACAGGAGCTCCAGGTTGCTGACCTGGAAGAGTTGTTAATTTTACTTAGGTGAGAGGAGCCCCATGGACACATATTTCTTCCTCTGAGTTGTTTTGGGATGGTCCAACTGTTTTCTTCCTTCCTCCCCCTATAGCTGCAGTGAGCAACTACTGACCTGCTGTGGATGACATCTGAGCCTGGTGCTTTCCATGGTTTCAAGCTGTTATGAGGTGCTTCTGGAGCTGAATGCAGTTGTCAATGCTTCAGGTTCCCTTGCCTGTAGTGGATTGCTTTCACAGCATTCTTCTATCATGTGTGTTGACAATTAAATAACATTTAAAGCCTCAGACACCAATGCGAAGGAGCAGTACTGGATGCAGAAAAATGCTTTTACTGTTTCACAGTAAGGTCATACTTAGGGAAGGGGAAATTTCAGGAGGAACCTGAGTGCTTGAAATGGCTTTTAAGCACAATTAGGGTGCCTGTGATGCTGATACTGCTCACAGAGTCAGACAGGGCTTTGACAGATCTCTCACTTGTTCTCTTTGACCTTAAAGTTTGTGCCTCAGGATGAGCAAAATATTATCCCTGTTTTGCTAGGGTTAAGCAACTTAAACACTTAAATCTGGACCCTAGAAGCAGGTGAATTCTCCGTCAGTGACAGATTCATTTTGATGGGTTTGATGGCAGGAGGTGTAATAACCCTCGAGGGTCTCAGACGTTGCACAGAGACATGCCAGCCCCATTGCACTAGCTGCCCGCTAGTTCCAAAACTCTTCCAGAAAAAGGAGGGCCAAAGTAAGTGCCCTTTTTAAGCTGCACACCAGTGACTGAACTCCTTTTTTTGAGCTCTGCTTATTTCTATGGACTGTTCTGCAGTTTCCTTATGTTTTTGGATGGGGTGACTAAGAGAAAGTCCAGCATTAGTCTGGAGGCTGTAGTAAGAAGATGACCAGAAACACCCCTTGAGGCACGACCAGTCAGACAGCTGGAGCTCTCAGGAGCAGCTACCATTGCTGACTGAAAAGTGAAGAGACAAAAGAGGAAAAATCTCACCGTGAAATATGTTTCCTTTATTGTTAGTCTGTAGGGTTCTATCAACTGTATGTTATCGTACACTGCAGAAAAGATACCATGAGCATTGGCTGGTGGAAGATCTTATAGCATTTATGAACATGAAGGTCCTTGAAAAGCTGCTTTATGTATGTATCATAGTCTGCAGTCTGCATACTAGTGACACAATACACATATAGTTTAGACTGACTTTGCAAAAGCTCAGCATATGCTACTTTTGTTCTTTTCAGTCATCCTTCCACGTAGTGACTTCCCATGAAAGCAAAATCTGACTGTGATGGGCAAGTGAAACTTTCAGGGTTTTGAATTTTCTCTCTTTTCCTATAGACATTATAGGTGAATTTTTGTGTTTGCTTTCTTCAGCTTTATCTATACATGAGTCCTGGTGAAAATATTCTATTGAATTTTCTGTTTCTTGATCTCTTCCCATGGTTTTGAATTCTTGATTTCTCTTCCCATGGTTTTGAAACTTTCATTCACCAGAACTATTAGGTTTTCCTTATCCAAGATTTTTTGCCTGTTGGTTGATGTTTTCAGAGCTGTGTTCTCAACTGGTAGAGCTATTTTCTCAGCAGACTAACCGTAGTGTATGGGAATAATATTTGCTAAAGAAGAATTGCAGCAGGAAATGCAGCGCATGAGGGTTTGCTTTAGAAAGAACAATTTTCCCCTGAAGTTCTTGTTGTGGTTTCCTCTTTTAAGCCAGATGCTGTTGCTTCCGAGAAACTGTCAGCTTGTAAAGAAGATCCCAGTCAAAAGGAGATTACTGTGTATAGGTCATATGCTCAAAGACACATGAAAAATGATGCACCACTTTCCATGGGAATGATTTAGAGGTTCAGTACAGTGGCCAAAGAAAAAAGCCTCATTTAATTCTGTTTCTTCCTAAAGGATGAGGAGGGGACCTCTGTGTTGTGGCTGAGGACACAGAGTTCAAACTTTACTCATGGTGACTTTCTGTGAGAGGCGAGTAGAAAGGAAACATGAGCGAGTAATTACAGCCTTCAATGTACATGAGTAAGAAACATATGTTAGGAATGAAAGCATACTTAAGTTAAAGGATGGTAAGGTCAGGTATAGAGGTTCTTTTCCTAGTTCTGTCAGCGTCCTGTTGTTTGAGTTGAGGTTAATCTAGGTCCCATGTTATGCAGAAAATCAGATTAAGTGGTAGCAAAAATGAAAGAAAAGCTTTGAAATTGCTCAGGACTCATGTGTATGTTAAATGGGCCCCACTAGTTAAAAATATGTTCTTCCATGTGACATTTTCTCTAGTAGCAGAGCTAATTTAAGGAGATCTTTCCTTTCTCCCAAAGTCTCAGTGTATGATACTGTGCTGCCCTTAGGCTGAGCTAGATTTTGTGGGGTAGTCCTGTCAAAGCACAGATGAAATTATTTGAGCTAGCAATAAAACCAGCAAAAAACCCAGACCTCTCTTAAATAAAGAAATAATGAGAGCAGAATGGATAAAGAAGTGGGAGGAGAGCAGGACTTAACTCAGAAATGTGATGTACACAGTTAAGGGTCCATATGGAGGAAATAAAGATATGCCTTGTCAGCATTTGAACACATGGAAATAACGATGTGGCAGAGAATGAGTGTAACTGCTGAGCAGGACTTGGAGCGAAGGGAGACCCTCACGCTCCCCTTCCCCAGCTCTTGGGGAACATCTCTCTGCTTTGAAAGCTCGTGGCTATTTCCAGTCCCACAAGGCTCCCTAGCAATAACAACGATGCTGCAGATCGGAACCCAGGAGCTTTTCTCCTGCAGCAAGCTGCAAACATCTGCTGTCCATCCTGCTGGTCCCCAGAGAGCAGAACTGCTGCCGTCCTCCCTGTCGGTGCAGACGTGACCGAGGAGAGCTGAGCTCTCTTTCCAAATGGGTCCAGCCCTTTCCCTGTTATCCCGCTGCCTCCTAAGGACTTTTTGGCAATGAATTAATTGCCTTGCAGTAATCTCATCGTGGGCTGGAGGTGGTTTAGAAGATTGGCTCCCATTCAGCTTGATACCTGGTCGTTTAGTTTCAATATTTAAATAATCCGTCGGGACAACTCAAAGGCATGGAGTGCTTTAATGAGATGGATTGAACTTCTTTGAAACAAGAGGTTTAATAGCCATTGAAAGCTGTTAGGCTTCTGTATTTGATTCACACGTGCCAGCAAATTCATGCATGAGATGGCTCTGGGGTTTGAATAGGGTCAGCCAAATCTGTTTCCTTGGAGAGATGCACATGTGAAAGAAAAGTAAGAAAAACACTGCAGAATCAATCACAAAGGAGGAGGAAAAAAAGCCATAAAAAAGGGGCATCCAAGAGAAGACAGTGAAAACAGCTGTTAAATTCTGTCTGAAGAAGGTTTTCAGTAAGCAGCTGTTCTACACTTCAGTTTCTCTGCTCTGGAAGGAAGAGGGTTTTGATAGGTCTTTTGTGAATTGGGATCAATAAAACAGCTAGAACAAAAGCAAATGGCAATAAAACCAAATATAAATCAACAACAGCAACAAACAAAAAAGTTTTGTTCCAGCATCATCATCTTTCTTGGCTAAGGATAGGGGAAAGTAT